TCACCCAGAATGATACCTAAGTATAGAGCCAGAAGTAAGCCCTGAGATCCATCAGGTATGGTTCAAAACCTCTTTCTCCCACACACAAAGAGCAAATAAATACACCAAGAAAGTGTTAATATGTATGTATGTATATACATCCACACATGAATTTTTGTGCTAAAAAATATATATAGTTCCCTTCCTTCAAAGAAGATTACATCCATAGAGGAAAAAACAAGGAAACTTCAAATAGTAAAATTTTAAATAAGGCTTCAAGAACAAATAGGACTTGAGGAGCTGGAGTGATAGTATAGCATTTGCCTTGCATGCGGCCGACCCGGGTTCGATTCCCAGCATCCCACATGGTCCCCTGAGCACCTCCAGGAGTAATTCCTGAGTGCATGAACCAGGAGTAACCCCTGTGCATCGCCAGGTGTGACCCCAAAAACAAACAAACAAAAAATAGAATGAAGAGAACTTGAATATATGACAACTGGTCAACTGGTCACATGCAATTCAAGTAAAAGGGATAGCAGGAGAGGGGCTGGAGTGATAGTACAGTGGGCAAGGAATTTGCCTTGTACAGAGCAGGCCCAGGTTTGATCCCCAGCACCACATATGGTGCCCTGAGTCTGCCAGGAGTGATCCCTGAGCTAGAGCCAGGATTAAGCCCTGGGGACTGCCATGTGTAGCCTAAAAAACAAAACAAAACAAAAAGGTACGGCGGGAGCAAGGGGAAAAGACACGTTCAGGAAGCAAAAGCACTGGGAATTCAGAGTAAGGTAAATCCAGGAGTGACAACTCCAAGGGGTGAGGTGCATGTTGTGAGGACTAGGCCCAGGGAGTTAGATGCCAGCAGGGCACCACATGCCTGCCCATGCCCCATCTCTCCCATGATCCTGATGGTTCCCAGCACTGCAGGGTCTATGCACTGAATTCCCAAAGTCTAGAATCCAGGGTGTTCCCAGGATCCGAAGCACCTGTGGGGAGGTCCCTGTTAAGAGTAATATTCAAGTAAACCTAAGACAAATTCCATGGAAAGAACTTCCCTTAACGGAAAATACTAAAAATGTTTAAGTAGAAATGTAACAAGAATGAATCGTCAAGATTAATTTAAGCAGAAATACAAGTGATAACTTGAACAAAAGCAGAAGTGAAGGCAAGAGATCATAACATGAATTTACAAAAGATGAGTATCCCATTCAATTAGAAGAAACAAAAAAGGACTGAAAATAACACTAGATCTGAAAACACAGTAAATTAACTTCTGGACCTGAAAAATACCTTTAAAGACAAACAATATTAGATTAAGGACTGGACAGATAGTACAGTGGGTAAGGAACTTGACCTACACCCACCCGACCTGGTTTGATCCCTTATTCCCTGACATTCCATATGGTCCCCCCAGAGTGCGCGCGCACGTACACACACACACACACACACACACACACACAAAAGAACAGATATTAGGTTGAAATCAGGCAAGATATTAGGTTGAAATCAGGCAAAGGATATAGCTCAGTGGTAGAGAGTACTTGTCTTCCATGTGTGATGCCCTGAGTTCAATCCCTGACACCACAGGGCAGAAACAGCTTCCTAAAAACGGTAGTCAAAGTCATCTTCAGAAAAAAAAATTTTTTTTTAACATGATAGTCTTGCAAAACTTTAAATAACAACAAAAAATCCCAATGCAAAATGTTTCTAAAAGAAAAAAAAAAAGGACTCCCAACTGAGTTTATTATAATGTTGTTACCAACATGTATCAAGAATTGTACCACTGTTAGCAGGGACAGAGAAGGATGATAACACCTGGGAAGTTAGAGTTGTTGATTCCAGACAAGATGTGATAAAACAAAGAGTCTGGTATAACTTCAAGACAAATAAGGAACATTGATGATGCGGGTTTGGTAGCCTAGTTTGAGGGCCAGAAAGACAGTAAAGTAGCCTTGTATGTAACTGACCTCGGTTCTAATCCCAACACTGACATATGCACCTCCACCCACAGCTCCACCAGGAGTAAATCCTGAGCAGACAACCAGAATAAAGCCCTGAACATAGCGAGTGTGACCCCGCCCTCCCTAAAAAAAAAAAAGACTTCAGTTTGAATCAGAAATCCAGATCTCCATAAAGCAGTTGGGAGAAGGCTTCAAGTATAGAACAGAAAAAATAAGATCTGAGCATTATGTCAAGGAAGCAGATACACACAGAAAAGTTATCAAAGCTGGACAGTACAGGGATAAGGTGCTTATTTTGGAATCGGTCAATCAAGTTAGATCCTGGGTTATGTATATGGTCTCCTGGGCACTGCCAGGAGTGACCCTGGAATACAGATTCAGGAGTAAAACCTAAGCCCCGCCCCCCCACTACACACACACCCAGTCAGTTACCTGTGTGTGTAAAGACAGAAAAGGGATCTAGCTAATTCTTACTCACCTTTCAAAATAGTCCAGATCCAAAGAAACTTTCTTTATCCAAAGAAACATTTTAAAGGAGGTTAGTCAGGTTCTTCCAATACCACAATCATCGGGGTAGGTCCCCATATTAAGTTTTTGGAATGTACTGCATTTTAATTATAATTACAATTATATTCAATTATAAAACGCATTCTTCAAATATGTCTCCCCAAATGGACATAAGGCTCCATGAGAGCCAGGCCTGGTTCTGTTGCTGCATCCTTATTGCCTTGCACTGACTAGACCCTAGTAAATGCTCACTGAATAAAATGGATGGACTACAGAAAGCTAAGGAAAGGCATTTTAAGAATGAGAGAGAGGTCAGGGGCCAGGTATGTAACTCAGTGGTAAAGCACCTGCCTTGCACATGTGAAGCCCTGGGTTGACTTCCAACAACAGAAAGAAAAAAAAAAGATAGCAAAGTCATTTTTAACTGCTTCCTAAAGTTGATGGTGACTTAAAAAAGAGGCTTAATTAAATACATTGATTGGTCATAGGTCACCTCTGTAAAGGTGAATTCTGGATAATAAGGGGTTAAGAAATGAACAGACATTCAGGAAGTCAAGGCAGGAAAAGCACACTCCTCTCTGGAGAGATTGGAGAGTTTTAACTTTATTTCAAATTGCTTTATTTTACAATTTTTCTTCTAAGAATATGTATTTTGTAAGGGAAAAATGTTAATGTGAATATGATCTGAAAAGTATCATCAAGACAGCTTGCAAGAGTAACAGACTCGGGATGTTTTTGTAAAGTGACATCATTTCAAGCACATTTGTACTTTTAAGAGCCCCAAAAAGGAGAATAACTCATATTCCATTAAGTAGGAAAGAAGAGAAAAAATTAACAAGGTGTTAGCTACGAGGAAAAACTAATCTTCCACTGAAATGGAAGGAAAGCAAATAGTTCTGAAGGAGTTCCACTGGACGACGCAAACTTCTAATACAGTGAGAAACTGTCTGAAAACTCCACGGACAATGTGCAGGGCAGAAAAAGGAGTCAAACACTGGTTCTATTTTAATGTGGGGGACATGCATTCCAAATTTCATAAATTCAACCCTCTTCTAGTTTAAAACTGCCCCTTTTTTATCTTTTAAATTTAAATACTAAAGTAACTGGCTCACAAACTTTCTATTTCAAACAACTGAAAACAGTAATGAGCATTAAGTTACATTGTACTAGTAACATTCTCCTTGAATTCGGGGTTGAAATCCTCTTACAAGGAAATACAATAAAGGAGTTGTTTTCAATTCAAACAACAAAGCATCGCGATCATTTCAAGTAACTGAAAAAGAGCTCCTCAAAACTGGGGGCTTTGGGGGGGAGGGCACGGTTTGGTTTTTGTTTTTTAAGACTCCTCTTACGGCTCACTCTAACAGTTCCTGAGTTGCACAGAAAAAAAAAATCCTGGGTTCAAATCCCAGCTCACTTAAGTTCCAGCGTCTCGGTTTACTCGGCGAGGAAAACGAGAACTACAATAACCAGGGTTATCCTAAGGATTACATGACGTAACGCCGGTGACTGTGCCCAGGCCGCACGGGGTACTCGGAATACTTCTGCGAACCGTTTCAAAGAAAACCTGCAGCTACTCGGACCAAACTAAATCTTAACTCCCCAGAAAGAGCAGGAGGGAATACAAGTCACAAAGGCCAGACTCTAGAACACACGACACTTTATTTCTCTTCCCTGACGCAACCGATTTTTTTTCTCCCTTGCCAAACCTTTCCACTAGGAGTCTGAAACGAGCGAGAAAAAAGAAAAGGGGGGAACCTCCAGCCGGCACAAAGTTTTCTGAAACTGCAGTGCAGGATCAGAGCAGACATGGCAGCGAGACTGCGCAGGACAACAGGTGAACCTTCCGGAGACCTGGCACCTTCCTGGGGACAAGTTTTTAAAGAGGGGTGTGCAGCTGCTCCTGGCCCGACGACCCCACGAGACACGCTCCTCGCGCGCCCCCTCCCCACTTTTTCTTTTCTTTTCTTTTTTCTTTTCTTTTCTTCTCTTCTGCACATACTTACGGACAAACAGTAACTATCAGTCTCAGCGGCTCCCGGACCAGGGAGGCGAGCGCCTTTCCCATTTAAGGATTCAAGGAGCGTCCTTGGAGGCGGTTTGCGCCCACACCGCCTCCCCCCACCCCTCCCCAAAACTTGGCCAGAAACCCGGGGGTGGCAAACAAAAGAGGGGCCGGTCGGCGGGGACGCCGCGGGGGGCCGGGGCTTGGACGTCGGCTGTCTGGGGAGCCGGGCTGGGTGTCCGGCGCGACGCCGCCCCGGGGTGCGGGGCGGCCCTGGGGGGCCACGGGCAGACCCAGCCGAGGCCACGGGGACCCCGGGCGGGAGTCCGGGGGGCGGGGGGACGGCGTCGGGGCGGGAGGGGGGACCGGCCAGATCGGGCCGCCCTCCCCCACCCCCACCTCCACCCCGATCGCTCGGCTCGGGCCTCCGCGCGTGCCCGGCTCCCCGCGAAACTTCGCCCCGCGCCCGCCCGCCGCGGCCTCGGCGCCGGGGCCGGCCTCTCCCCGTCGCGCACACGCCTCTGCGCTCGCTCCCCGACGCGCCAACTCACCGGGACCCCGGGGAACTCATCCTCCGGCCTGCGGCGCGGAGCGGGTGGGCGCGGCGGGGAGGAGCGGGGGGCCCCCCGGCTCGGCCTCCGCCCTCGGCGTGCAGCGCCCGTGCAGAGGGTCGTCTCGCGCGGACCGACGCGCCGGACCCCGGAGCCTTCCTGCCCGCTCTCCCCGCCCTCCGCCCTCCTCCTCCTCCTCCTCCTCCTCCGCTCAGCGCCAGCAGGCGGATTCCAATCTCGGCCGCCGCCGCCGCCGCCGCCGCCGACACTCGCCGCGAGGGGGAGGGGGTGGCGCGGCCGCGGGCCCCGAGGGGAGGGGAGAGGGGCGGGGCGGCCGCGAGACTCGGCGCTGCGCGCGCGCGCACTGGCCGCGCACCTCCGCCCGCCGCGCCCCGCCCGGCCGCGAAGGCAGCCGAGCGCGCGGCGGAAGTGCCCGAAGGGGGCCGGGGAGCCCGGCGCCCCGCTGCCGGCGAGGAGGAGGGCCCCCGGCGCCAGCTCGGGGGGCGCCGGGCTGCCGTGCGGGGAGCGGGGCCGTGGCTCCTCCGCCGCTGCTCACCCGCCAGCCCCGCGGCCGGCGGCGTGGCGGGGGGCCGGCCGGGCCGAGGAGACGCGCGCGCACGGCCGAGTGCGTGGTGGGGGCGCGCGGGCTGCCCGTGCTCGTGGGTTGCTGCTCGGTGGGGGAGAGCCCAGGTCCGACAAACTCCATATCCCCCCATCCACGTGAGCGCCAGCCAGTCCGCTGGTGGACGCTCGGAATTCTCCCTGCGCGGTGGGGATTGCTAGGTCGCGACAAAGGAGCGAAAACTGTCGCCGTCACCACCGCATCCCCCTATTCACCGGCCTCTTTCCTGGCTCTTTGCCATCGAGGCACACAGGTAGAGAGAGGGGCCCACCGCTTTGCAAGGAAAGAGGGGTTTCAGAACGTGGACCCCCGAGCTCCGAGGCCTGGGCCGCGCGGGAGCCCTGTGATCTGCGAGCCCGTGAATTCCAAGGGCTTAGGATGAGGAGCGGCGTTAGCCCAACAGAACTGAAGTCAGCGGACTATAAATATTGCTCCCTTCTCTAGCTTGGCTCTCGCTCTGACCTCGCATACTCTCTGCAGCCTCCTTCCCTCCATTTGGGAAAATGTGCCTTTCGCTACCTAGCCCATTTCCCGTCATTGTGGGACATACCGTTTAAAAAAAAAAAAATATTCAACGCCCGGGATGTGAAGAAAATTAACAATGTAACCTTAATCTCTTTGGTTAGTGTTTCAATGAACACGTCTTCTTAAATTGTTTCTGTAGAAAACGCACTTTTTTGTTTTTCATTTTGAAGATCTCATAAGATCACTTTTAAACTAAAGGTAAAAAGAAGAAAGCTGCTCAGAGAAGAATGTGCCAAGTACTGGCTTTTTTTTTTCTTACACATATTCTCCCTTACAGAGATCATCAACTCTCTTAGTCTTATTTATGTATCTAAATTCCCCGTGCATTGCTGTTGAGGATATTTTGGTTCATTTTTTTTTATTCCATCTTCTCTTTCTCCTCTTTACCACCAATGTTTGTCCTTTAGTACCTCATACCCTCTATTTTCAGTCTTTTTTTTTTCCTTTCTCCACTGTCTCAAGTTTGACTCCTGGATTACAGTGTGTCGCTATGCAGAATGTGTGATACATGAGTTTCATAGCAGCAATTCAATTTCGTCACTTCTCTTTTTCCAAACTTTTGGGTTTCTCCAAACACCACTGCTTTCATTTGTAAAGGAAAGGGTGAACCTTTTGCTTAAGGAGGTTCAGACCTAGTGGCCAAAGAACTCATTTAGGTTTCCTAAGTACTGTGTCATAGTAGATAATACCATGAAAAGAAATGTATTAATATACCTTCTACCTCCACGTTCGATTTGCAGACATGAATCAGTCTATAAAATAGACAAGAATCTCGGGTCTGGACTTTAAGAGGTTAGGCGTGTAATGTACAAATTGGAGTTGGCTAGGTAGGGGTCTGAGCCGCTGTACAGGGGAGGCAAAACTGAGACACCAAAATTTAATTTAAAGCCCTGCTTCTTAGCAAAAGACTCTGTCACGTCATTGGGAATGTTATTTGACATCCTTTTGCTCTCCTCAAATCAGAACCAGTTAATGCCCACGCTTAAATCCTTGGTGTTGTTTCAGCGGGCAACCTACCTGCCCACAACTGAGCTAGGCCTAGTGTTCTCGCAGGCACCTGGCATGTGAGTGCATGCCAGCCTGTTTCTCCGGTTTTCCTGCCCACCAAGTGAACAGACAGCCAGGAAGTGCAATGAGATATTTGGACATATATGGTCTGGCCCCCAAACCTAACAGCAACAGAAGAGCCAAACTATTTCTATTGCAACCATTCTCTTTTAAGTACATTGATAGAATGGGTTTTTCTCTATGAAGTCAGAGGTACAGGTTCCAGGAGTAATCATTGTTTGCCCAAATCCTGTAACATTAGTCCAAAATAAAAAAATTACCCTACTCTTACAATTCTCAGACCCCTGAGGTACTCCTAGATCACCTGTTAAATGAACATTGACCTGATTTCATTTCCTTTATGCCACTTTTTACTATCTAAAATGACCTGTTAATTTAGTTCTTTATAGTCTGAATTTCTTTACTCCACTAATATCTTTACCACACTAAAATAAGGTCCACGAGAGCAGTCTTTTTCTCAACTGATTCCTTACAGTTTTATGCCTGATATATAGCAAGTGCTTAATATTTGTTAAACAAATGAAAGTGATTAAGAATAAAATTCTCTCCAAATCTCTCTGTCTCTCTCTCTGTGTCTCTGTGTCTGTTTGTATCTGTCTGTCTGTCTGTCTCTCTCTTTCTCTCTCTCTTCTCTCTCTCTCCACCATGAATTACTAAGTTATTCATGTTTGGGTTTCAGTTATAGAATGTTCCAGCATCAGTCCCTTCACCGGCATCCATTGCCTTGCACAAATGTCCCCAGTTTCCCTCCCACTCCCAACCTACCTCTGACACTTAAATATAAATTTTAGGTGCTATGATTTACAAACCTGTTTCTTATAGAGTTTTATGCTTAACACTTTATTCAAACATTTATGAATCTTGTTATTAAGACCCAGTATTAGAACCAGTATTAGAACCAGAGAGATAGTACAAGGGTTAAGGGCTTGCCTTGCACCTGCCTACCAAGTTCAAATCCCCAACATCAGATATGGTCTACTGAGCACCACCAGGAGTCACCACAAAGAGCTACAAATAACATCCTGAGCTTCCATGGGTGTAGCCCAGCCCCCTTCCCCACCCCACGCCCCACCCTTGTGGCAGCGCATTAGAAAAGACCCAGTTTGGAGACCATGGTGGGGTAGGATAAGCTCAAAGGGTTGGAGTGCATACTTTCAACGTGGGAGCCCCTGGTTCAAATCTCAGTACTTCATGGTCCTCTCTACTACTACTAGGAGTAACCCCTGAGCACAGCTGGGTTTGGCCCAAAATATGAAAACAAAAGAGACTCAGTTTTAAAGGGCAGCATAGTCTATGTTGAAAAGTGTAGGGTGGATTAGGAGAGCTGTGGGTTATTCCACCTTCAGTGAAGAGGAGACTGGTGCCTCGGGGAAGGCAGTAGTTCAATAGATTAATTCAAGTTAATCCATTCAAAGTTATTTTCTTACTGTAAACTCTTTATGAGGCAAGGAACAGCACTAAATCTTTGTAGGAATGGACATAAATTAGAGTTGAATGCAGTGATACTGCAGCTTGATTTAAAATCCAATATTGAGGGGCCCGTACATGTTTTGCATGAGGAAGGCCCAGGATTGATCGCTGCATACTTGCTGCTCCCCCAAGCACCACCAGGAGTGACTGCCAAGCACCAAGCTGGGAGTAGCTACTAAGTGCTGCCCGGTGTGTGGCATAAAACAAATCTTGGGGCCAGACAGTCCCCTGGGCGAGGTGCTTGCCTTGCATGTGGCCAACCCAAGAGAACCCCATATGTCCTCTGAGTTCTACCAGGAGAAATCCCTGAGCTCAGAGCCAGGAGTGAGCCCTGAGCCCTGCTGAGTGTCCCACCCCTCTCCCCCAAATAAAATAAAAGTCAAATGGAATATCCAAAAGTTGTTGTGAGTAAATAGAGACATCTTTTTCTGCGTAGACACTACTATATCATTTTATTTGTTAATGATACCCAGACGATAGTTTAAAAGGATAAAGCCAGGACAGAAATTGTGCTTAAGAAAAAATGGAGGATTTTTTATTTCAGTACCTAGAATAAAATTTTTAAATCTAAATCTGCTCTTTGTAATGCTACGGTACTTTACTCCTCCTATGTTTACTTTGAAATGCTTACTCTTTCCCCTTTCCATATGTCGCCTTTCTTTGCTTCAAAGCACTTGTTTACTATAATTAAATAACATTTATTGTAGTTTTTGCTGCTAAATATCCACACTTGACCCTACCTAGTCTGTTGTCTCTGTCGTTGTTCTCTCCCTACTATCAATATGGCATTTGCCTTTCCTAAATCATCAGCAGGAAGAATTCTCAGAAATCCCTCCAGTTCCAAGCCCAGAATACAGACTCCTGCTACCTTTACTACTTACTTGGGGAGCCCTAACCTTGGCCACTTCTAAGAACTGACTCACCGCCCCTTTCTTGTGCTGAAACCCCGGCCTGTTAAGCTGTGCCGAACTTGGTTTTCTCTCTGTTGTCTGAACTCTGCTCTCTGAAGTCAGCCACAGCCCTGCCACACAGATTCTGCCTCCAATTTCTTGTTCCAGTTTTCCTGCAACCATCTTCTACCCATCTTTCTGTTTGTTTGGGAGACACATCAGCTGTGCTCAGGGTTTACTTCTGCCTCTGTGCTCAGGGGTCACTCCAGGCAGGGCTCAGGAGACCTGGGGATTGAACTTGGGTTGGCCACACGCAAGGCAAGCACCCTCCCTGCTATACTATTGCTCCACATGGATTTTCTATCCATCTTATTAAGCTGCCTTTCCCCCTTTACACCAACTTGGACATCCTGATGCCACTGCCTGCCTGCGCTACCATCTGTTGTTTGCTCACTATTCTCTGGCTACCAGGTGCTGCCTGGAGGGCAGGCGTTCCTCCCACCCATCACCACAGCTGGGTCCCTCATGCCAGTTCCCAGACAACCCATGGTAAATCTTGTCCTTCCTTGTCCTGTAGCCAGTTTTCACTACCCTGCCTCTTCCTAGTTCTCAGAGCAGTGGGTTTATAATGCTTTGGTTACTTGTTTAACAGTAAATATTGTTAAAAAGGTCTTTTTAAGGGCCATTTTTAACAGTATTATTATTTTTTATTTGTTTGGTTAGCTGCTTTGTTTTTTGTTTCACAGGGCTGGGAGAGCATACTTTGGGGGACACATACTGGCAGTATCAGGGGCTGCTCCTGACTCTGTGCTCAGAGATTGTTTTCATGCCAAGAACTGAGCCCAGGTCTCCTGCATGAAAAGCATGTGCTCAGCCCACTGAGAGTCTCTCTGGCCCAGTTGATTGGATTTTGAGCCACACCAGCAAGTACTCAGAGGCTATTCCTGGTCAAGTGCTTGGGGGTCACTCTCAATGTTGATTGGGGGGAAAGGAGGAAGCATATGGTACCAAAGATGCAACCCAGGCTTCTTGCATGCAAATATATGCACTGGCCTTTTGAGTTATCTTCCTGGTCCTAACAAGGTATTGTTTTGTTTTTAATCTGGTTAAAAAATAATAAAGATATGTATATGTATGGGAGAGGTTGTATATACGTGTGTATGCATAAATATACGTATATACACATCTATAAGAAAAAAATACATATTTTTGCTTTTGTTTTTGATGTGGGGGCGGGGGAATACTGGTTGTACTCAGGAATCACTCCTGAAAATGCTCAGGACCATGCGTGATGCTAGGTGGACTGCATGCAAAGAAAACCCTACCCACTGCACTATCTGTCTGGCCCCACATCATTTTTTCTCTTTTTTAAATTTCTACCATACCAGGAATCAAGCCTGGCACTTCCTACATGCTAAGCAAGAGCTCTACCACTGAGGCACATCCCCAGCCCATATCTTATATTCTGAGCGCTCCTCAACCCTGACCCTACTCAATTCTATCAGGAACAGTAGTTTGAAATTCCAGGGTCTTTGGTTGAGAATGCTTACTTTATGAATAACCAGTGAAAGGCAGGCAAAATGAC